CACCGGACGAGTCCGAGTCTCCCTCATCCTCCGAGTCCCCGCCCGACTCGGGGTCACCCTCCGGCACCCGCTTCTCCTCCTCCTCCTCCGCCACCACCGCCTCAGCTCCCGCCGCCGCCGCCATCTTATGCAGCTCGCTCCGCAGCCAGCCGCGCTCCGCCGTGCGACGGGGCTGTCCGCGCCGCGCCTGCCCCGCCGCCGCGCCCCGCCACCGGGCGAGCGCTACGAGAAGAGGACCGAACCTCCTCCCGCACCATCCCGCGGTGGGCTCCGCACCGGGGCCGCGCCGCAGCAAGCACCGAGGGGGCCGGACCCTTCATCTTCCCGGCTGAGGCGCAGGCAGCGCCGCGGCCATCTCAGGGCCTGGCAGTGAAGGGGCTTCCGTGAAGGTCTGAAGCGTGCGCGGCGCCGCTCTTCCGCCATATTGAGCGTGGCCTCCGCGGCTCCGCACATGCACCGGATGTCGCGATAGGAACAGTGTCGCGATAATAACCGGTGTCGCGACTGGAAACTGCGTTTATCGCTCGTTTTAGCGGCAGCGTAACACTGTCCGCTGTTAGGAGGATTTTAGCGTTCGCCTCCTTTCCACCGCGCTAGGGGCGAAGTCGCGGCAGCGCCAGGCCTGAGCCTGCAGCGGGGAGTGGGAGGCGTGGCCACGGCGCGCGGGGGGGGCGTGGCCTCAGCGTGCGAGGCTATATAAGGGCGCGGCGGGGCCCCGCCCCTTCCAGGTGCAAGATGGCGGCGCTGAGGGCGGTGGCGTCGGCGCTGCTGCGGCCGGGCCGCGGGGCGGAGGCGGCCAGGCTGGGCTACCACAAGAAGGTGAGGGCCGAGGGGCCACAGAGCCCCGGGGCGGGGGGGGGATGTACGGGGAGGCAGGGACAGGCCGTTGGCTGACGCGGTGTCCCCGCAGGTGGTGGATCACTACGAGAACCCGCGCAATGTCGGCTCCCTCGACCGCAACGCCAAGAACGTGGGCACCGGCCTGGTGGGCGCCCCGGCGTGTGGAGATGTCATGAAGCTGCAGGTTGGCACCGGGGACGGGGGTACCGAGGGCTGGTGTGAGGTCCAGCTCCGTGCCCTATCCCCTTAGGGGTGCAGCGAGGCTTTGCCCTCCCCTCCCCGCCCTCAAACGTCCCCTGGGGCCCTGCAGGCCCCGTCCGGCTCCCGAGGGCGCTGGGTCAGTGAGGGGCGTTCTCTGGGGTGCCCGGTGGTGCTGAGCTAGATGCTGAGGTACCATCAACTCTCTCACAGGTGGAAGTGGATGAGAACGGGAGGATCGTGGACGCCCGTTTCAAAACCTTCGGTTGTGGCTCAGCGATTGCATCGAGTTCACTGGCAACGGAGTGGGTCAAAGGGAAAACGGTGAGGAAGTGCCTGCTGGAGGCAGGGGTGACAGCAGGGAAAGCCTTCGGAGCTGCCTGTGTTGGGGCTGTACGAAACAGCGGCTGGGGATCCCAGTACTGACTGCGTGCGGTAGCTTAGGAAGCAGGGACTGGTGACCCTGTCAGTGGCCTGACTTCTAGGGCAGTAGTTGCCTTTTCCAAGAATACCCATTAATCTGCACAGAAGTCATTTGTGTCTTATGCAACAAGAGAAACACCCTGATTGCAGGTGCTGGGAGAAGGTGTAATTACAGATCATCTTTAGAGCTCCCTTTCTGTCAGACAAGAAATTCACTTCCCTGTTATGATAGAAGACAAAGAGACTTAAAGCTGCCCATCTGGCATCAGTCTCACACTGGTGTTCTTTGGTTCATTCCCACCACTGGGATGTTCCTTGATTCCAGCATACCTACTGTTACTTGGGATCTTTTCAAGGCCAGGTTGGATGAAGCCTTGGGTGCCATGGTTTAGTGTGAGGCGTCCCTGCCAGTGGCAGGGGGGTTGGAGCTGGATGATCTTAAGGTCCTTTCCAACCCTAACTATTCTGTGATCTTCTTCCTTGTGGATTCTGTTGGCTTTGAGGTGTTAAAGCATTAAAGCACTCTGAGCAAATGCCTTTGTAGCTGGTGGTCTAGCTTACCTGGCCACTGACCACTCACTGATTGCATTTCAGGTTGATGAAGCCTTGAAAATCAAGAACACGGATATTGCTAAAGAGCTCTGCCTTCCTCCTGTCAAACTGCACTGCTCCAGTAAGTAAAGGACCAACTGGTGAGGGTTCAAACACTGGCTTGTATTTGAGAGGGAAACTGGGGGAATAGAACAAAGGCTTCTGAATGTGGCCATGAGGGAAACTTGTGGTTTCGGGGTCATTCTATGAGCTTTCAGATGTCTCCCGTCTTGTGGAGCCTGCAGCTCAGCAGCCTGATAGCGAACGTTCACGTTCGGACTGGTGCTGCCTGCAGTGCTGTTCTTACAGCACATTTTGTTTGAAATGCCTTTCTCCTGTCCTTGAAACACTTGTTTTGGTTTTAGTGCTGGCTGAAGACGCCATCAAGGCTGCCTTGGCCGACTACAAGTTGAAGCAGGATTCAAAGAAAGAAGTGTCAGAGAAGAAAGCAAACAACGCCTGAACTGACTGTGAAGCTTGTTCTCGTTCCACTTCCTTTTGCAGTGCAATTACTTTAGATTAGTAGGATCTTGCTCACTACTAAAGCAAGCTGTAAGATACGCACAACTTACGCACAACGTGTCGCTGGAGGTGTGTGGACGGCCACTCTTGTGCTCGCACGATGGAGGTGGGGGGTTCAGCAGCCTCTCTCCTGTCACAGCTCCCTTTGGGGGAGTGAAGAAGGCTGCTCACCCCGGAGGGAAATTCCTCCTGTTCCGGTACTCGAAGGGCTGCACTTTTTCCTTTGGAAGATGTAGAGTTTTGCCTAATATTTCACTGGAATTAATGGGAAACGTTGCCTTGGTCTTATTCTTTCTGTAAGAACTGGAGGTCTGTGTGTACAAACACGGGGTGGTTCATCTGCCACAGACTACAGCGGTGTCTGAGTTTCATTTCGCAATCTCAGTGCAAGTTCCTCTTCTCTGGGCTGGCAGGGTCGGTCTGTGCCCTCTGGGAATGCCTTTACATCCCTGCTGAGCTTTCCCAGCCTATTCCCAGTGTCTGAGCTGTCCCCCTGCGAGCGCACAGCCTTTGAAGGATTTGTGGGTTAAACTCTGCTCTGCGTGCTCAGCTCTGCCTTCTGGTGGTGGCTGCTCGTGGTCCAGAGGAGCATTCCTTAGCTTCCCAAAACAAACAGAAAACACATTTAAAAGCTTTACCTGCTCTGGAGATACCAAAACACCCCAAAACCACCGGCTTAAGGCCACGTTGGACACAGGGGCTTGGAGCAAGCTGCTCTAGTGGAAGGGGTCCCTGCCCATAGCAGGGGATGGAAGTGGATGAGCTTCAAGGTCCCTTCAACCCAAACCAGGCTGGAATTTGATGACATCTTAGTTAAAAACATGGAAAACCACATGTAATAACGAGCAGCTCATTTTGCTGTCTGTCCACAGCTTTGTTTCAGTGCAGCACAGGCCAGGGGCTGCTGCTGCTGTGCTTTGTCTGTGTCTAAAACACATTTAAAAGCTTTACCTGCTCTGGAGATATTAAAACACCCCAAAACCACCAGCTTAAGGCCACGTTGGACACAGGGGCTTGGAGCAAGCTGCTCTAGTGGAAGGGGTCCCTGCCCATAGCAGGGGATGGAAGTGGATGAGCTTCAAGGTCCCTTCAACCCAAACCAGGCTGGAATTTGATGACATCTTAGTTAAAAACATGGAAAACCACATGTAATAACGAGCAGCTCATTTTGCTGTCTCTGTCCACAGCTTTGTTTCAGTGCAGCACCGGCCAGGGGCTGCTGCTGCTGTGCTTTGTCTCTCACAAGCCTGTCCTTACCTCAGTTCAGCAACCCCATGGTGGCCTTGTCTCCTGCAGCAGGAATGTGCCTCATTCCCTGGGAACGGTCCTGTGGTTTTCCAGTCCAAAACCAAAAGAAACTGAGGGAAACTTCAGCCACCCACATCCACTTCGGGGCAGAATCAGCTCATTGTGCCTGTGAGAGCCCTGTGACAAAACACACACCCTTCCACAGGGGTTATCCTGATGCTGGGACATCGGGGACATCCCCAGCTGCCCTGTGGGATACAGGGATGTGCTGCTTTGGAGGCAGAAACCCCTCCTTCACCCCACGTTGCCCTCCCTGCTGCAGCCCTGTCCCAGTGCCAAGCACCGCAGCTCCCCCACCCTTGCCTGTGGGGCAGGAGATAAGAGTTTCCCAGAATCAGCACGTCAGGGGACAGATACCATGGGTGATAAGAGCTGGTCCCTGGCTCCCAGGGCTTCACCCCACAGCACTGGTGGTGCCTTCCAGGCTCTGGGGGGCACACGTGGGCCACAACCGGCTGCACCCCAGCACCAGTACGATCCAAGGAGAGCCCTGATGGAGCAGAGGCAGGGACTGCGCCTTGGCCGAGCTGCACAAACACACAGGAGAGGAGAATCTGCGTAGGAAAGGTCTTTATTATTAGCTGAAGGGGTTAAGGAGGCAAAGATCCAGCTGGGCTCTGGGCTGTCACAGCGCTGGGGCACTGAGATCAAAGGATGGGTCTTTACCACTAAATCCTCTCCCTTTAGGTGGGCAAGGATGGCCAAGGTCGCCACAGCCACCAGCAAAGCCAGACCATGGTGCCCAAGGTCGGGGTGAGTCCCTGCCCTGATCCTTGGGGGTACAGAGGGAGCTGCACAGATTCCCCCCCCCACCCCAGCCATGGTCCCGCACCTCCATCCAGAGGGATCAGCTCCTGGATCACATCAGGATGCTTCTAAGTAGTAAAAGAACATTTAGGAGCGAGCTCAAGGGGGGGAACGAGCTGGAGCTGGGGGGGACGGAAGCCCCTTGGGCAGCTGGAGCAATGGGACTGATGGAGAAGCACCAGAGACCCCCAGGGCTTTGCCGAGGGGTCAGGAAGGGAGCAGGGACTTCATCGGGGCTTCCTTGAGCCACCACGTACACACGGAGCAGCAAAGCACCACCATGTCCATCGCGTGTCCACGGGGATCCCGGGATCACCCAGGACCGGGTCCCTGCCCTAGTTGCCAGCAGGGGCTGTGGGACCATCCCGGGGTGCATCGGGGGCTCCATCCTCAGCACATGGGGTTTGGGGAGGGGGCTGCTCATCCCTCACCTTCTTGCCTCCTTCCTCTTCCTCCTTATGGGCTGGGCTCTTCTCCCCCTGGCCCCCGTTGGCCAGCGGTGCCTTGGGGGGGGATTTGAGGCTCTGGGCCGCAGCGAGGATGTCTGCCTGCAGCTGCTGCCCACAGTCGAGCTGCTCCTCAGCACCGGGGTCTTTATCAGGCACCTCATTGAAGGCACGGGGTCCCCCCACCTTGTCCCGCTCATCCACGTACTTCTTCTTAGGGAAGGACGAGGGGTAGTACGCGGACGCCTTGTGCTTCTGCCGGACGATGACGGCGGCGCAGATGATGAAGAGGAGGACGAAGGCCAGCGAGCCCACCACCACCACCAGCAGCAGGTACTCCTTGAAGAAGGCCACCAGCCTGTCCAGCACGCCACGCGGCGCCGAGCTGTTGGTCACCGTGGTCCCCACCACGTCCCCCGCGGTCGGGCCGGTCCCCAATGTCACGTAGAGGATGGGTGGCGCAGCAGAGACCTCCTCACCATCCCCGCTGCCCCCGGCGTCGGGCAGCACCGCAATGTGCCGGGGTGCTGCTGAGCGGGCCGGGGCCACCACCACCACCACCACCATCACCATCATCATCAGCCACGCACCCATCGCCATGGTGCTCAAGCAGTGTCCTGTGGGATGCAGAGGGGAGGGCGACACGTTAACACCCCGATGGAGCAGGACCCATCGCGAGGGACAGGCGCAAGCATCCGAGCCCCGGCTCCGTTGTTCACCCATCGGGATTCCTTTAAGGAACGCAGCCCTCCATCCCAGCCTCCTCTCCCCGCCGCCGAGCAAGGGGCTGCGTTTGTTTTGCAACAGAGCGCTACAAAAATAGATGGAAAGCAGCTGAGTTGCATTGCTCAAGCCTGGGGGCCGCTGCCAACAGCCGGCTTCAGACGGCGGCCGGTTAGAGAATTCCTGACACATGGAGGTTTGCAGTGGAAACTCTGAGGCAGGCGGCGCTGCAGAGGGGCAGCCGCGGTGCAAGAGGCATTTCCCAACGGCTCATCCCAACACAGACCGTTACAAACGATTCCCAGCTGGAGCGTGGCTAAAAATAGGCTGGTGGCAGTTTGATCCCAGTGATGGGCTGGGGCTTGGGATCCTCCAGAGCCATTGCAAAGGGGCAGATCTGGAGCTGGGGTGCAGCGAGCAGAGGGGGTCCCTGGCCCGAGCGTCAGGGTGCAGGACAGCTCCATCCCCCCACCGTGCTGGATGGGGCTGGCTCTGCTCTGTGCACATTGTAGGACATGGGATAAGCGTTTCCCGTCCCCACACACAGCCCAAAACGAAGAGCTGGGATGAGCCTGCACCCCATTGGGGTTTGGAAGTGGGGTGCAACCATCCCATGGCCACCACGGCACACTCCCAAGGGATAGCAGCGCATTCCAGCTGTGCCGCGTCACATAATGCCATCGAGCCATTCCCAAAGCCCCCCCCCCAGCTTGGCCCCACAACCCGGTTCCCCAGGACAATGCCCCCAGCCTCAGGCCCCCTAAATCCCAACCACCTCCCGTTTTGCCCAATCCAACCCCACCAGGAAGGATCCCAGCACTGGGGATCGGAACCTGGGCTCCTTCCCGGCTGCAGGGTCTGGTTTGTGTTAAACCAGAGCAAACAAGCGGCAGCAGTGGCAGGAGGAGCCCCCGGACCGCCCCCCCCCGGGCTCACTGCAGTTACAGCACCAGCACCAAGGGGTTTGGGGGGCCGGGATGAGCCCCTTCATCCTCCCCCATTGCAGAGAGGGGCCCCTCAGCTGCGCTGGGGTCCCGGGAAGGTGAAGGCAGTAACTTGCCATTAGCAAGATGTTAACAGCCACAGAGGGGCTGCCCAAAGCCCAAATCAGTGCCAAGCACAGGTCCTGTTGCCGCCCCTCCATCCCCATGCCGTCCTCATGCACTCCCAGACCCACAGCACGTCCCTGCCTTCAGCTTGGCCGGGCACAGGCAATTCCCACTTCCCTCTGCTCCCCAAACACTCAGGAAATCCACAGTTCTCACATTGCCCAGACGCAGAACCCCCCGAACCGAGCCCAGCTCCATCCTGCATCCCAGCGCAGGGACCATGCCCAGCGCTCACCCCAGCTCCCTAAGCACGGAGCATCCCGCACCCTGCTTCCGAGCCACCCCAAGGCTTGTGCTGCCGGTGGGATCTCACCTCGTCCGCAGGCAGGGCTCGGGCAGGAGGGAGGGAGCCGAGAGGACGGGGTCTGTCCCGCTCACCTCGCACCCCTCCGGCTGCCTCCGGGATGGAGCCGCCTCCTTCTCCTTCTCCTCCTCCCCTTCCTGTGCTGCCCGGGCCCAGCTTGTTCTCATTAGGGCTGGTTTGGGGAGGGAATGTGGGAGGCCGGGGAGGGGCAGCGGCCCCCGGCCCCCTCCCAGATGAAACCCAGCTGGGGCTGGGGGGGGCTTCATGGGCTTTTGCCTTGCGAATAAAGGGGGGAGCCCCAGTGCCCCCCATCATCCCCACAGCACCGCTGGAAGGGGCCACTTTTAGGGTGCAAGTGGGGATGGGGGTCACAGCCTTGGGGGGGGGTGTTGCAACGGTGGTTTTGTCCATGGGGCTGAAGATAAAGCCCCATTCCCTGGCACCCCCCAAAATGCCGTTGCTCCCAGTGATGCCATGCTGGGAGCAAGCATGGCCCCCACCTCACTGCCTTTTGCTGTGCTCCTCTACCCCTCATCACCCCAGCACAGAGCTGGATCCATCCCTGCACCCCCAAACCCTGCCTGGGCACGCAGCACCCGACGTCTGGCAGGGGGGGTTCAGGCTTGGTGTCTTGCTGTCAGTGTGATGTGGGGGCAAACAGGGCTTGGAACCCCCTCCTTGATTCCAGACCCTTTCCTAAACATCCCAGCCTGGAAATGCTCCGGAACAGCCCCCTCGGAGTGCAGGGGGTGCAGAAAACCACCCCATGGGATGGTTCCACGCCGGGGTCCGGCGCTGTCCCCTCTCTGCGCCCCCCACCGTGTCCTCAGGGCTGAAGTTGCTCAAGAGGCTGCAGCCGCGGCGTGACCTCATCCTCCTGCTATTCGCCTCTGTTTGTCCTTGGGGACCGGGGCCGCATCCCCCCGCCATAGCCCCAGCGCCCCGGGACCGCGGGCACGGCGGGGCCGGTCCCCACGGCCGCTGGCACCGGGAGCCGGCGCCAAAGGGAATCGCGGCTCCCAGAAATAACGGCTTCCAACCGCCAGGGCTGGGATCTCGCAGGGAAGGGGGAAAGGGGAGCGGCGCCAGCGGCAGCCGGATGCGCTCCTGCAGCCCGGGTGGCAATGGGGCCGTGATTCCCCCTCTGTGTGTCCAGCGATGCCGGTGCTGGGCTGAGCCTCTTTGCCCAGGGTCCCCATTCCTCCATGTCCACAGAACCCATCCCACCCTGCCCAGTCCCCACCCCTGCTCATCCAGGAACACTATTATTCCATGCCCAGGGTCCCCATCACTCCTTGCTCAAGGTCCCTATTCCTCTATGTCCATGGTCCTCAGTCCTCCTCATCCAGGGTCGCCATGCCACCTGATCCACAGTCCCTATCCCTCCATGTCCAGGGTCCCCATCCCATCTCATCCACAGTCCCTATCTCTCCTTATCCAGGGTCCCCATCCCATCTCATCCACAGTCCCTATCCCTCCATGTCCAAGGTCCCCATCCCACCTCATCCACAGTCCCTATCCCTCCTTATCCAGGGTCCCCATCCCACCTCATCCACAGTCCCTATCCCTCCATGTCCAGGGTCCCCATCCCACCTCATCCACAGTCCCTATCCCTCCTTATCCAGGGTCCCCATCCCACCTCATCCACAGTCCCTATCCCTCCTTGTCCAGGGTCCCCATCCCATCTCATCCACAGTCCCTATCCCTCCATGTCCAAAGTCCCCATCCCACCTCATCCACAGTCCCTATCCCTCCATGTCCAGGGTCCCCATCCCACCTCATCCACAGTCCCTATCCCTCCTTATCCAGGGTCCCCATCCCACCTCATCCACAGTCCCTATCCCTCCTTGTCCAGGGTCCCCATCCCATCTCATCCACAGTCCCTATCCCTCCTCATCCAGGGTCCCCATCCCACCTCATCCACAGTCCCTATCCCTCCATGTCCAGGGTCCCCATTCCATCTCATCCACAGTCCCTATCCCTCCATGTCCAAAGTCCCCATCCCACCTCATCCACAGTCCCTATCCCTCCTTGTCCAGGGTCCCCATCCCATCTCATCCACAGTCCCTATCCCTCCTCATCCAGGGTCCCCATCCCACCTCATCCACAGTGCCCAATCCCTCCATGTCCAAGGTCCCCATCCCACCTCATCCACAGTCCCTATCCCTTCTTATCCAGGGTCCCCATCCCATCTCATCCACAGTCCCTATCCCTCCTTGTCCAGGGTCCCCATCCCACCTCATCCACAGTCCCTATCTCTCCTTATCCAGGGTCCCCATCTCATCCACAGTCCCTATCCCTCCTTGTCCAGGGTCCCCATCCCATCTCATCCACAGTCCCTATCCCTCCTTATCCAGGGTCCACATCCCACTTCATCCAGGTTTCCCGTCTTTCCTCCTCCAGGATTACTATTCCTTTATGCCCAGAGTTGCCATCCCTCCTTACTCAAGGTCCCTATTCCTCTGTGCCCAGGGTCCTTACTCCTCCGTGCCCAAGGTCCCCATCCCACCTCATCCAGTGTTCCCATCTTCCCATCTCGAGGATCCCCGTCCCTCTTTATCCCCGGTTTCCATCGCGCCCTGCCCAGGCTCCCCATCCCTCCTCCTCCATGGTCCCCACCGTCCCCATCCCTGCTCCCGGTCCCTGCCGCGCTGCCCCGGGGCTGTGCCGGTGCCGGAGCCGCGGGGTCACCGGTGCCAGCGCACCCCGACCATTACCGCTGCCGTTTTAGCCTGCGGCGGGCGGGGGCTCTGCCCGTGGCGCTGGGCAGGGCTCGGCCCCGCTCTGTAATTTGGGGCCGCTGGAACGTGGGTCCCGCAGGGCCCGGCCCCGAAACCTGCAATTTGGGACGTCCCAGCCCTGCTCTGCTTCTAATTTGCTTCGCCGGGATGCGCCGTGCCAGGGGGACACCTACAGGGACTGATCCTGCTCCATGCCCAGCCCCGGGTGCCCAGGGACCCGCTGGGACACGGCCCTGGCAGCGAGGTGGCAGCAGATGGGACCTGAGCAGCCTCATCCCCACCTTGGACCGGGGCTGGATGAGCGCGGAGCAATCCCTCTGACACGCACCCATCCGCATCATCGGGATCCAGCAGCCTCATCCCCACCTTGGACCGGGGCTGGATGGGCGCGGAGCAATCCCTCTGACACGCACCCATCCGCATCATCGGGATCCAGCAGCCTCATCCCCACCTTGGACCGGGGCTGGATGAGCCCCTGTGGGGGTGAAGCTGGATGATGGGAGCATCCCTTCACCTCTGCGTGACAGCGGTCCCTGTGGGCTCCCATTCCCCAGCCTGCACCATGTGCATGGAGGTTTAAGCACAGAAACCTTTGTGCCCGTTAGAGGCGATCCATGAACTCCTACGGCAGCTTTTGGCACGGCACTGGCACCCACATGGGGAGGGGGGGGGGTCAGAGCAGGGCGCCCATGGTCAGGATGTCCCATCCGGAACCAGCCACCGGCTGCGGATCTCCCC